TTACAAGGAGTGTGTGTGTGTAAAAATCAGTAATATGTACAGTTAAGACTTCTGCACTTTACCATGTGTGTGTTACTAAAAATATTTAAATTAGAAAAATATATTTGGGAATTTAAGCCAAAAATTCCATTATAATGTATTCTATGGCAAAGATTTCGCTCATTGTGTTATTTATAATGTTGAAAAACTAGAAACCTCTAAAATATCTGATAGCAGGGAATGGCAAATAATGATCTTCCAGGGCCTCCCTTAGTGGCACAGGCAGCTGAGCATGGCGCTGTGAAGCTGTCCACAGCCTCTGCAGCGCTGGTTCGATCCTGGCTGGCCAGCTGGCAAGGGTCCCACATGGCGAGCAGACCTCTCCTGCCTTGCCCGCTGCTCCCCTCAGCAGTGTATTTTGGTCAGTCTGCCTGTTCTGTTCCCTATTCTGTCTCTGGTAAATCCTCTCACCCTCCCGCGCATCTGGCCTGTACCCCGGTTCTTTTATAAATAAATAAATAAATCTTTTTTAAAAAAATAAGTGATCGTCCATCCACTAAAAGTCATGTTATCAATACACAATACATGACTCTATCTAAATGCCCATTGACTGATGACTGAATAAAGAAATTGTGGTGTTTATATACTCAGTGGAGTACTATTCAGCTGTTAAAAATGAAACCAAGGCTTTTGTGACAGTATGAATGGAACTTGTGGTGATTATTTTAAGTGAAAAAAGTCCAGAAGGGAAAGACAGTTCACTCATTTGTAGAATATAAATAACCAAAGAAAACAAACCAACAAAACACAACAAAAGTCACTTTTAGACTCTATGAAAAATATGGTGGTTACCAGAGTGGGGGAAGAGAAGGGAGGAGGGGAGGGGGGTACTGTGGTGGTGTTGGCACTGGAGCTTTAGTGGTGGGTGAGTGAAGCATGTGCAGTAGAGATGTGAAGATGTAGCTCGAAAATTTTATAGGTATGTAAACAAATGGTAAATTAATACAATTTGATTGAAAATGAAATAAAATTGGGCCTCTCCGGTGGTGCAGCGGGTTGAGCCCAGTGTTATGAAGCTGTCCACAGCCTCTGCAACGCAGGTTCAATTCCTGGCCGGCCAGGGAGATACCCACATGGCGCAGCAGACCTCTCCTGTCTTGCCCGCTGCTCCCCTCAGCAGTGTATGTATTTCAGTTGATCTGCCTGTTCTGCTCCCCACTCTGTCTCTGGTAAATTCTCTCACCCTCCCGCGCCTCTGCCTATACCCCAGCTCTTGTATAAATAAAATAAATCTTTTAAAAAAATTTAAAAATGAAATAAAATGCTGTCAAAATTGTCTTACTGGTATTGTGAGACACTTACAATGAAGTGACATGCAAAGCAGCTCACAGAATAGGAAGAAAACAATAACATAGTGAAAATAAGTACCAGTGTCATTCCCTGATGTGATAATTTGCTGGTACACAAAGAAAATGACCAGCTGACAGTAGGAACCAGCCAAGCTTCCTGGGTGAAATAACCCACGAACCACGGTTCCCCTCAGTGAAGATTCAGTTGTCTGTAAATGCAAACACCGGCTCCTACGCATTGAGCTAATGCAGGCTGTTGGGCACAACTCCAGCTTCACTTTGGGATATTTGGTCTCTTTGGGGTTCTCCATTATTCTAAAGTTCCTTTCTAGCCTTATTCAACTCCAGTGGGGGAGCTGAGAGGCTGAGAGGTCGAGGTGATAACTGGGTGGAAAGAGAATGAAATACACACACACGTATGTATGCATGCATTCAGGAACACTTGTGTGGTCATCATCCTAAATATGCATTGCGCATGTACATGTATGGATGCACGTAGATATAATCTCTTTAGCCCACATTCCCAAATTTGGAATCAGGAAGTTACTATTGTAATTTAAGTAGTCAAATTGATCATCAACAGAAGGAGGTGATTGAGGACTGCGGCTATTCCCAGACAGCATGTGTCAGAGACAGAGCGCCATCTGGCATTTTTCTAGTAGACTGAAAGCTTCTGGGGTGTGCTCTCACTGGTTTGAGGAAGACAGGTAGAAACAGGCTGCAGCCCCACTGGCAAATTTTTCCTTGTGCTATAAAACAGCAACCTAGGGCAACACTGTATGCCTGCCTGATGAAGCTTGCAATGAAAGGGATTTCTTTTAAGTCATTTTAATAATTTCTTTTTTATCAGAAACTAACCAAAGTAGCCTTCACTTGCATGAAAGACCTGTTCCTTTATCAAGGTGGTTTGCCTATTGGCAGATGTTACCAAGAGCCTACTCATGTATAATATCCACATATGTTTTGACATTAAGAAAATCAGAATTGAGCCCATGAAAAAATGCCTCTTGCTTTTTAATTGTCCAGCTCATTCTGAGTTAAAGTCAATTTTCTTTAGGAGGAAAGGGTGGCATCTTTGTGCCAGGCTTGGTTGAAATGTGGCTTCTCCCTTTCCTCCTTCCAATTCTAGTCCCTCCCCTTACCCTAGATCCTCTGTCCAAACAAGCACATCATCTCTGGGGAGAAGACTGCTGCTACTACTCGCTGAGCTGCTGCAGCTGCTGCTATTGTCACTGCTACTAGTCTCAAAGTCATTTTTAACTTGACTGAGAGCCTGCTGTGTTCCAAGTCCCATAAGGTACCCCGAGAGACAGCACGAAGGAAATATACAAGTATGCAGTTCTTTTAAATAGCCAGATCCTCTAGTATTTTATTCAAAATAGCATTTAATTTTCATGCAGGGTTCAAGAATACAGATATTGCATAAATCAAGGCTCATCCCATTAAAGGCACCTCATTAGTTTATGGCTTTGATTATAAAGGTCAAATTCTATATGCCCTCTGTGTCAATTGGTGGGTAATGTGCTTCTCTCTAAAGCAAAAGGGCCTCATTCTGCTCATCGAAAGCAGCATGAGAACACATCTCTCTCTGGTTTCTTTAAAGATCTCTAACTGCAAGCTTGCAATAGGAGGGCCAAAATCTCTAAAGAAGGCATAAAGCGGCCTTTTCCAACCTGTATAAAAACCTGTTTACTTCAAGGCTACTTTTACAGACACAAAATCAGTTTATTATGAAGTGCCCCTGAGAAATCAGTGCTGGTTGTTTCTCATGAAATATAGGAGATCTTTAGAGTGGAGCTGGAGGAATGATAAGTAGATAGAACTGAAGGCAAACATGGCCAGAGTATGAATATAGGATTTTTCTCTGCCCTTGTGGAGCTTATGGAGACTTTGACACATAAGCCAAGGGTGCTTAAGACACACCCCTCTACAAGAGGAGGCATTTTCCCTCTATCTAGAACCTATGTCACAGATTTCTAAACCACATCTAGGGTCTAGTGCTGCTATTAATACCTGACACCATATTGAGCCTGACCTCTGTGGTGCCCAAGTTCTTTCTAAAGAGCTTCCCTCTTAACCTTCAGGAAGCATCTTATCTCCCTTTGGAAGATCGGAGAGGGCAAAGGTCCCTGGTTCTATTTCCTGGATAAGGAAACAAAGTCACACAGTCGATTAACAAGCAAAATTTTGAAAGAACCAAGCACACTTGTTCGTACCTCTTAGGAGAGTTTTTATACTTGATGGTTGGGGGGGCGGGCGTTGGCAGGGGACATAGAGAGAGGGTTGCAGCACTCATCAGGGGAAGGTGGCTGGAAAGAGACCTGGCAGGCTGAACCTGAGAGCTCTCCTTTGGACAGGCTGGATGCTTCCAAACAGGTAAATTCCCTGGGATGCCAGGCCTTCAGGGCTGAATTTTCAGAGGGAGCTGGATGCCAGTTGCTGTTTTCTCACCTTCAATCTCTGTTGGCCACCAGGCAGCTGTCTCAGGGCACTGCAAGGAGGCTTCATCCTATGCTATTGTTTTGAAGACGTCAGAACCACCCTTCCAGGTCAACAATAAGGTGCTTTCAGCACAGTATTCTAATGGGGTTCAGAAGGATGAGTTGGGGAGGAATTTGACTATCTCCCAGGAAGAACAGGAGCATTCCCATCTCATCCTGTTTCCTTTAGCAATCCACAGGGGCTGTGTTAGCCATGCCTTTCCCAACCCTTTCCAGAGCTGATTGTGCTTTCATTCTCTTGCACCTCATAGGGTTAATGAGTTGCTTAGGTTTTCAATATTCTATATACAGTAATATTTCTTCTCAGCTGCCATAGTGAGAAGAGCACTGACTGGGGAGTCCAACAGATCTAGGTTCAGATTCCTCCTCCGTGGATTACTCGCTGACTACAGGGAACTTTGATCCCGTCTCTGAGGCTCAGTTTCTTCATCTATAAAATAGGGTGTTGATATCTTCTTTTCCTGCCTTGCATGGCTGTTATGATGAAAATAGGAGATCTTTGATACAAAAGCACCTTGAACAATAGCACAAACGGGGTGGGGGGGTGATGCAGAGTCATATTTGCTTTCGCTGAATCTTTTTCTAACTCAGGGGTCTGTGGGTACTAGAATTCTCCGATCTGGTGAATGAGGCTGTGTTCCCTCTCTCCATCTCTGCGTAATTTTATACACTCTGGTCACATCCTTTCCCAGCCTTCATCTTTCTCGACTAAAGAGTCTGCATTTGTTTAATCTATCTTCATATGGCAGCCCCCTCCACCCTCCCCCATCCCCTTGATTATATATAGAGTGGCCCTTCTCTGGATCATCTCCAGCTCCATTATGTCATTCTGGAAGCACTATGACCAAACCTGCACAAGTGTGTGTGTGTGTGTGTGTGCGTGCGCGCGCGCGCGCGCGTGTGTGTGTATTCCTCGGCTCTGAACCTCTGACTCTGCCCCCTCCCCAGTTGTGCATCCTAGAACAGGATGCTGACCTAAGACACCCTCTCCAAACTACAGAGAAGGCCGGTTGGCCCCAGGCTGTAACCTCCCCCTCTTTCTCTGCGCAGCCCTGGCCCCAAGGGGCTAAAACGGCTCCCTGTCTGGCTTGGGAGGCTGGGAGGTGGATAACTAGGATGGGGGGGCAGAAGGGGGGGTCTTGCGCAAGCGCACGCCGCTGCTCGGACCGCCAATGCCGCTGCCTCCCGGAGCAGAGGGAGGCAGAGGAGGAGGGAGGGAGAGGAGGGGAAGGGAGGGGGAGGCGGCACTTGGGCTGCGGCGCGCATCCAGAGGCAGTGTCTCGCGGCTCTCCGAGGGACCAGGAGCGGCAGCCGCCGATAGGATGCTCTGCGGGGCGCCCTGAGCCGGGGGCTCCCGAAGCGGCTTCGGGGCCAGGGCAGCGGGGCAGCGTTCACCATGCATCAGTCCCTGACTCAGCAGCGGTCCAGCGACATGTCCCTGCCCGATTCCATGGGTAAGTCGAGCCGCTCTTCCTCGGGGCGGCGGCAGCAAGAGGAGAGTGCGCTGCCCTCCGGACTGCGAGCGCCCTGGCCGCCCCGAGCGCTGGAGAGCGGGAAGCGGGCCAGGGGCTCCGCGAGCCGCCGCGTCTGGGTCGTGGACCCGAGCCCCAGGGGAGCGGCCCGGCGGGGGCGGGGGCCGCGCGCGCAGAGCTGAGCGCTAAGCCTGCGTCGGAGTAAAGCTGCCCCGGCGCGCGGTGTGTGCGTGAGTGCGTGTTTGTGTGCGTGTGTCTTCAGACTTGCAGCCAGGGCTAAATCCCGGCTGTCTGGGGATCAAAACACTTCCCTGCAACCTGCGCCTTCGCTTTCCAGTCGACGCTCGCTCTTTGCAAAGTCCCCGTCACTTCTAAGCGCTCACGACTAACGCTAATTAGAAGGAGCAGAGGCCTCGCCTCCTTCCTGCTCCGTCGAAGCTGTCCCGAAATGTAGAGCTACAGTGGGCTGGGGGGGGGCTGACTTACACCCCGCTGATGAGGGTGTTTGCGCAACCCTGGGGGATGGGCGGGGGGGGACAAGTAGGGAGGGGGCGAGCGGGAGGGGAATTCCTGAGGAATCCTTCAAGACAGCCCAGCTCTACCGTCTGCAGCGGCAGGATCCACATTCCTTGAATTTGGTTCCTATTCTGCTCCAAACGCGCGGAATGTGCGTGAGTGTGAAAAAAGGAGGGGGGGGGAAATGAGTGAGAGCGCGAGAAAGAGCTAGAATCGAGCCCGCGCATCTTCTGAAGTCGCGCTTTTCCTGAGTGGAATGGAGGGGGAGGGGAACGCTCTAGCCTGATTTGGTTCCACACCTTTTCTCCTCAAAACTGGGGGACAGCGACCTCCAAGAACCAATCAGGCTGATCCTGGACGCTGTTTGTTCGTTGTTACAAACAAAAAACAAACCCAGCCTCCCCCCCACCCCCAGCTGTTAGGCACCTTCCCAACCCCTATGATTTCACTGGGCGGAGAAATTAATTTGGAGCCCAGGAGAGCGGGAGGGGATTGTCAAACCACGAACCCACCGAATCTGAAAATTCGCCTCGGATACACTCTAACCTAATCGAATTCTCTCTTTCCAACATACTTTACATTATGCAAAACCCCTCGCTCCCGAATTCCTGCCATCCAGTCTGCTCAGGTTTAAGCCGAAGAATTTGCGGGAACATCTGGAAGGGAGGGGGCGGGGAGAGGGTTGAACCCTCTCTGTGAGCTCTTTACCGCCTGCGAAAGACTCAATCTCCACAGAATTCGTTCACCGAAGGGGCCCAGAAAGTGTTGTGTCCTGGATAGTGGAATGATCTGTATTTTCAATGCGTATTCAGTGTAAAATGGACTTTTTTATTTTTAAGGGTGTAGTTATGTGCAACGTGTTACAAATGAAGCCAAACACTCGGGTCGGAATCCAGAGCCCGGAGTACCAGGCTCCCCCCAGCTCTCTCGCCAACACACACACACACACTCACACTCACGCACTCACTCTGCGCTCCTCACCTTGGCCAGCTGTGGCGCCAATGCAGCCCTGGCTTCCCGACGCCTGGCTGTGGCGCGAGAAGGCTGGGGGCAGAGCTCGAGGGTTCCGCAGCGCCTATTCCGCAGCGGGCCACAGCCACCTGCAACCTCGGCCTCGCCGCGTCGGGGCGTCTGCTGCGGGGACTGAGCGGTCAGTTTAGCGACCCACGGCTGAAAGCCTCGCCACTTGGCACACTGCTCAGTGGATTGGGAAAACAAGACGAGGGGCGTTTTTTCTTGGGTTCTCAGGACCCTCAGCCAACCTTGGCGTTTCCAGAAGGGTTTGCGCAACCCGAAGCTGAGCGACCATCGCCCAGCCTAGACTCAACACTGGGAAAAGAATCGTAGATCTCATAATAGACGTGTCAGCGCTCTCCACACATTCTGCTTAGTGAAGGCCGCATTCCGAGGCTACTAGCAAATTCCAGTCGCGTGATAACCCTGGGTTTCCACAGTTCGGACAGGGGAGTCTCCCCGGAGTTCCCTGGCGCTGATCCTGCACAGACCAGGCCTGAATCAGCGTCTAGGCTGTTTAGGAGCTACTCCCATTTAACTCAGCTCTGGCAACACCACCTTCCCTGGCATGGAGGGACCTAAGTGGGGGCGGATGGGTTAGTGTTTCAGCCTCCAAGGGCAGCATTTTTCTGAGGGGATTCCCTTTACAGACAAGACACACCGCAGCCAAAACAAAATCTGAAACACAAACACTGCACCAACTTGTCTGCATTCTAAACTTGCTAGCTGCCTGGGATAGAGCGGTTAGCTCAAGACTTCGGGCAGAGCCCGGCGCTGGGAAAGGTGATTTGGCTCCAGCGCCCTTTCACCCTGCCCAGCAGCCTCCCTTGTGCCCTTTGCAACACTGCCCCCAGGTGCTGAGGCACTTCCACTACAGCAGGGCATGCCTTCCCTCCCCAATACCCACACATCTGTAAGTCACCCGTGGCCTTGGGTATCTTCCCTCAAAGAATCACCAAAGAGGGTGGTGGTGGATTTCAGAACCTAGAAGGCAATGTTTGGGAAACTGGCAGAGCCTTGAGGCTCTTGTGTGAGCAGCTACCCGTTTCCATGGATGCTCAAGGTTGGGACTTCCCGGGACCCTCCCTGTGTGGCAAAGCTGACTCAGGTAAGCAAATTCTAATCGGTTTAAAAGATTAGCCCCAGGAATTAGGAAATCATCAACAACATAGTGTACAGTTCAGAATACTGCACTCTCATCTTTGCTGCACTCTGATCGAGATTTCACACCCTGTAATCAGGTGGGGGGAATCAGGACCATGTATAAGGTAAAACACAAGTGAGCAGAGACAGTCATCCTAGCCTACCTTCTGGCAACTCATGCCTTTGTTCCTGTTGGACATATAATCCTGGAAGTGGTGGACACCACACAGGTTGTGCACCAAACCTACAATTACAACCATACTTGTAGCACTGACAATATCCTTTTTTTTTAAGTAAGGTATATAGGGACTCCAGGACATGAACTAATGAATGATTAGAGAGAGCTTGATCAAGACACACTTCCTGGAGGAGGTGAGTTTTGAGTTGATTTCAGAAGAAGGGAAGGACTCTGATTCAAAGACCGCAGTGCAGGTGGGGGCTCCAAGAAGGGGGGAGGCCTGGAGGAGGGAGAAGCTAGAAGGGTGGAGACAGCAAATAATTGGGTATTCTGGAGCTGAGCACCCTGGTCATCACGAATCTGGGGTGGAGGTGGGGCACTGCAGTGAGGGGAGGGCTGCAGTAGTTCTGCAGGGAGGCTGCTGGTGGGGGGGGGGCAGGCGAAGCCAGTGACAGCCTTTCAGACTCTCCCACTGCTGTGGGTTGCAGGGGATGGTGGTGGTGGTTTCAATAGAAAAATACCGGACATCAAGTACACAGGCTAGTGATAGTCACTGGGCTTGTGACACTATTTGCCAGATGGTTTTCCGTTCTGGGGAGCCCTCAGGTGTACCCGACCTTAAAAAGCAGTTTTATGAGCATAATCTGTATTTACTCACACACTTCTCTCCGTAATCTTTTTGATAGGCAGGGAAACAATTCTGAGATGTTGCTTCTTGTTTATTCAACAAATATTGACTGCTCAGTAGGGTATCACACAGGGTGATAAGCGCAGTTTTCAAGTACCTGCTGCTTTATTGAAGTGCCTCATGGTGTCCGAGGTTATTTTTTTTTTTTTTGATGCATTGGTTTACTAAATAAAATCGGAATAAGATCTTCCTGCATTCACGGGAACATCTAAGGCAGGCCACAAATTGTACCCTAATAAGAACAGGGCTCTGCTTTTTTCCTTCTAAAATAAAACAACCACCAGGGAAAATGTTGAAGCGGACACAACAAGCTGCCCTTTTAGCAGCCCAGGCCACACCTTCAAAGAAAACGCATGTCTTGCTCTAAGATGTGAATTTTAAGACAAATTGACACTAAGGATAAATGAAGGTGTGATTCTTCCATTTTCAAAAGGATTCACCCAGGGTTCCTTAAAATGGTCAATTCCCCAAGTTCAACTAGAAATTATTTCATTTTCTACTATTGTGGTCCTTATGACGTAAAATAACGGGTGACCGGGGGAGAGCATGAGGAGACAGAATATTCAACCTAGTGATGGGAAAAATTTCTGGGGAATTTTATTCAAAACAAATCCTATCTGTAGGCCAGGGCCCTGTGAAGCCGTAGGATCTTTGCCTGGGTCTCTCCACTGACTGAATTTTCAATTCAGGTTCTAAAGGAGGAAAAAAAAAATAGATTTTCAAATGACACCATGTGGTTTGCTGAGTCACTTTTCTGACCTGGCTCCTGTGCTTTTAAGAGTTAGAGTGATGTTTGCAAAGGAAATCCAAGAGCTGTGAATAGGATCAAAAGCTAGTTAGCAGGGAAGGAGCCTGTGAATGATAGAAAAAATTTAGAAAGAAAAAAACTTTAGAAAAATCATGCACGCATACACACACGCCCCCAGCTTAGTGTCTGAGGTTAGATGTTTTCCGTGTGAGGTATTGAGACACTTTCGTGTGCCACAAAGAAATCTTAGTGCATCTTCACTCTATTTTGCCAATCTGGGATGTGGAAAGGCTAGAGATGGTGTGAGTGACAGACGGAAAGGCAGACTGCAATAAGGGGGGGGTGTTGGTAAATTTATGTTAGCGACCCTCTATGGAAGCAGCAGGTGCAGATTCACGGACAGGTCTCTGTCATCAAATTAAATCAGGTTTAGCGGTTTATTTGGGGGTCCCTCGAAATCAAGAAGAAGAGTAACCAACCTTCAGGTAAACAGAAGTAAATCCTGCTTGTCTATCCCCAACCCTCTTGGTTCGCTCTCTGCCTCTGCTCAGTCTGTCTGCCACCCGTCAGCTCACCATTTGCATCCCTAAGAACCCTCTCACACAAAGGGCCAAGATGTCAAAGGTATCTCCAGTGGTCCTTTATGTTTTTTCCCTTGGAGGCAGGACTCAGACCCCCCTGGAGAGGAGTCTCTTCCCACCCACCCCCCCAGCTCTCCTTTCCTCCTAGGGTGAGAGATATGGCACCTTAGTAGGTGGGTGCCTAGAATCTCTCAAGCCACTTCTACCTTTCAATGTAAAATAGTCTTAGAATAGTATCGTATTAGAAATGACTCTGATGAGTCATGTCCCTCACTTTCAAGGCTGACGTCAGGGGAGACCGCCAGCCCCTCCCACCTTTCTTGGAGCCTTGGGCAGGGACCGCACTGGGGAAGGCAAGATGGATGGCGGGGCTAACCCCTGGTAGCACCCCTGATGCTGTTCTTCCCTGTAGGAGGGGGTGTCTGCTGGGGGCTGCCAGGCCAGCCGCAGCCCCTCCCTCTGCTCACTACCACCTGGGCCTCCTGGGTCCCGCTGGTTTTCTCGACTCCCCCCCACTTCCTTAATCCCCTCTCTCCTCTCCCAGTGGTGCAGTCTTGGCGGCTTCACTAGGCAGCTGCTTCCTGAGGCTGCCGAGAGGCCTCCCAGAATGACAGGGTCCCTTGAGCAGACCCAAGGGGCCTCCTCAGGCCCATAAATGACAAGCCTCCTGGGCTGGCGACCCCCTCATTAAGCTCCCCACTGCCTCATCCCCCCACTAGACCACTGAAGTCTCCTACCATCCCCCCTTGGCTTATTTTTAGGAGAACTCCAAGGTGGGTATCTGTTCCCTGGTATTGCCAGTCTGGGGCTCTCTTCCCATGCCAGAAAATGCCTACGGGATGTGGAGTGCTGCTTGATGCCTTAAAATTTTTTTTTAAATTGAAAAGCGAGCCTGGATAGCGTTTTTCTAGCTGACTTAATAAGCCTGCTTTCGAAAAATATATTGGTTTGTGCCATCATGTCTGATAAGCACGGAGAATGGTTTCGTCGTTTATATTTATGTCACCCGCACATGAGCCTAAATGTGTATAAGTTATCACCCTCCCCTATGCCTCCTCCGATACGTATCTTTGTGGACTAATGGCCTCCAAACACTTACTTTATTGCACACATTTGTTATGTGACACATCTTGCCAACACACCATTTTGAAGTTTATACATGAGGTGGCAAATGTCAGAAATAAATGAAAACAAAAATCCCAGTACCTGCCTTGGTCCTGGTATTTACACTGAAAATGAAATTTCGTATCTCCAGCTTATGAAAGAAATCTTTGTAGATGTGTATTGGCTTTAAAATGCCAATGTATATTGGCTTTAAAATACCTCCGCACGCATGCTTCCCATTTATCACACGCTTTCTAATTTGCCCTAAAAAAACACTCTGCTAAGTGGGTATGACACATCTTTGATAGAATGCCGAAAGCACAAAAAAATTGTTTTGTTTTTATATACCTAGTGAGAGCTCTTCTGATATTTATTTTCAAATATATATATATATATATATATTATTGTAATGCGGTAGCTGATGGTTGCAAAAAGCCATAGTGCTAGCCGTTCCCCATAATTCCACTCCCCAGAGCTAACTCCAGTGATCAGTCAGAGTAGGAAAGGAAAACCGGCCTACTGATTTTTTCTTTAAGTCCATCATTTCTTTGGCCGGTTGAGCAAATTCAGTTTCTCTGTGTGCTTTCAGGAGCCTTCAATCGGAGGAAACGAAACTCCATCTATGTTACCGTGACTTTGCTTATTGTGTCTGTGCTAATTCTCACGGTGGGCCTTGCTGCAACCACCAGGACCCAGAATGTGACTGTTGGAGGCTATTACCCGGGAGTGATTGTAAGTATAAAAGGCAGAGGTGGGTCTTAGTAGTTTGCTGGTTGCAGACATTGCGGTCCAACTTCCATGATTTTTAATTCTGTTTGAGTTTCTAGTGTTTGTTCAGTTTTCCTTCTTTACAAAGCTCTATGTTTATCTAGAGTGGCGACTCGAGACCCGTTAGGAAGAGGACTGGATATGAAGAATCAAAAACACCCCAGCTCCATCACTAAGTAGCAGTGTGATCCTAAGCAAGACAGCTCATTCTTTAGGGTATCAGTTTTCTGGTCTAGAATGTGTTATTAGCTAGCAGGGTTAACCTTGGGCCGAGGTCCTTTCCTCTCGTGTATATAACAGAGGTCACCTGGTCTTCACCTGAAATCTGAGAACCCCTGCAACTCGACACTCTGACCAATAACCCTCATCTCCAAAATGGCCCTGCGGTCCTATCAGGAAATATACGAGCAATATTTACTTCTAAAATACGTACATCTAGTCATTTATAAATTATACACATGTTATAAAACATACAAACATGAACATTCAAAAATTAAATAAAAATGAAATGAGCAATTCTGAGCATCTTCCTGCTAACACTGACTAAAATTTCAAAGAATGATACACACTTCGCGTGACATCTGTCATTGAAAATAAGGGCTATAAATTCTTAGTTCAAATGGCCCACTAGAAAATTTTGAAAATTTTTGTCTGACTTCTTATCAAGTATGGTTATATGGTTTTGAAATTGTTTTTCATGTCACGAATAAATGATGAAATATCATTATAAAATAAGGTTTTTTTTAAGATTTATTTATTTATACAAGCACTGGGTACAGTCAGAAGCGCGGGAGGGTGAGAGAACCCACCAGAGCCAGAGCGGGGAGCAGAGCAGGCAGAAGGACCCAAGTACATTGCTGAGGGGAGCAGCGGGCGGCAGGAGAGGTCTGCGCGCACTGGACCCTCCTCTGGTGGCCGGGGAGCAGCCGGGGATCGAACCGGCGCTGCAGAGGTTGCCGGCAGCTTCGCAACCCAGCACTCAACCGCCGTGCCACCGGGGAGGCCCGTAAAATAAGAGGATTTTTTATGTGTTACTGTTTTTTAATGTCAGTCTCACAAAGTTGCTGACAAACAGCTCATCCTGTGTTAGACATGTCACCTGCCATTTTCTTGTTGCTCCACCGTGCTTGCATCACTAGGGTCATTTTTAAAATTTATTTATGCATACAGTCTACAGTTGCTTTCATGTTTGCACCAGAGCGGCATGGGTCATTTTTAAAATTTATTTATGCATACAAGAACCGGGGTACAGGCCAAAGGTGTGGGGGGTGAGAGGATTCACCAGAGACAGAGTGGGGAGCAGAACAGGCGGGTTGACTCAAATACACTGCTGAGGGGAGCAGCGGGTGAGACAGAAGAGGTCTGCTGCACCATGTGGGGTAGCTCTCTGGCCAGGAATCAAACTCATGCTGCAGTGGCTGACCATAGCTTGATAATACTGAGATTTTAACCCCTGCACCACCATTTCAATCCGTGGTTCCTCAATAGGAGTCTTTCCAAACTGCTTGTCCATTTTGTTGGGGGACAAAATGGGGTAATACAGTCTGGGCACTCATAAAATGACCCACTGTCAACTTTTTGCTGCTTAGAACTTGCTAGCTCACTTTGTCATCTGACATTTGCAAGGGTGCAGGGTGCCAGTGAGTCTGTTTATGGAATATTTATAATATTTAATTTCTTATTATTGTAGAGAAACAGCAAGTACAAAGAAGGGTTCAAATAGTTTATTTCCATACTTCAGTGGATTGTTTTACCCACCCCCTGGGTACAGACAATGCATTTTGGAATCTGTTGAACTCTTTACATGCAAAACCTCATTTTACATCCAATCATCACATTGTATACTTAAAACATATACAATTTCATTTGTCAATGCTACCTCAATAAAACTGGGGGAAATGAAAAGAAAAGAAAAGAAAAGAAAAGAAAAGAAAAGAAAAGAAAAGAAAAGAAAAGAAAAGAAAAGAAAAGAAAAGAAAAGAAAAGAAAAAAGCAACCGACCTCCTTTGGGCCTACAGACACTGCTGTTGAAACCCAAAACCTAACACTAGCAGCTGGGTCATAGTTTTAATACCAGTTAAGTGACTTCTCTATTGTAATTGCTAGAGAGCAGGAAGGAAGTTTAAGATAGTTCATTATTTTTCTATTTTAGGACAGCAAAGAGGTCACATGTGTTTGCTGCTGGTTTGTTTCTTTTTTCCTCTTCTTTTGGAGAGGCAGGGATGGGAGCAAGAAGCAAAGTGAGGGGCAGGGATTAAAGATGGATGCCTTTGACAAGCCAGGCTGTGAGTGACCAAGCCTGACGCCTGTTGCCTAGGTCACCGATTCCACAGCCAGCCTCCTCAATAGCTCTAGCAAAGTTGGGGCCTGATGAGAACTGGGCCCCCTGCATGTTAAAGGCTGCCTGGAGAGCTTCACAGCTCTTGGCACACAGGGCGCGCCCCAGCCCAGGGCTAGGTGCCCCGCAGACACGGTTTGGTGCCCTCTGTTAAACCTGTGAAGTGAGAACTCACCCAGTCCACTTCCTGTGATGAGGCAAGAAAACCATTCGTCAGCAGAATTGGGTTTTATTTTTAAACACAAGTAAGGGGTGGGAGAGGAAAGTGGGGGGTAAGATTACCTTTTGGTGGCTTGGAAAGGCAATTTATAGGATCTGTGTGACTTTGTGTGCTTCAGGTAGCTGCATTCAGTGAAAGAATTCTGACTGGTGAGCAAATGTTCAAGCCAAGATTCAGACTCTCCCTGGGTGAGGGAAAACTATTTTCCATGTCATTTAAGAGTAGGAGCCCCTATTCATGAACGGTGGCTATGAGCCTTCTCTGAAGAATATCTGACTGTGGGTGGCTAGCTTGGAATATATTAACAAAGGAAGGAGGGCACATGATTGTTGTTATTCAAGTACCTGATGTTCAGCTAGCACTGGAAATTGATGCAGTGGGGGCGTGTGTCTGTGTGTGTGTTTCACTGAAAGCCGGTATGGAAGTGTTAATAGGAGAGCCATCCCTAACAGACAGTGTGCCCCCATGGATTAACCTTTAAAATTTTGCTCCTATAGTTCCTGTTGTTTGTTTCTTTATTTTTTTAAATATTTATTTATTTATGTATATAAGAACTGGGGTACAGACCAGAAGTGTGGGGGGTGAGAGGATTCACCAGAGACAGACAGAAACTGGATTTTCTACAGTTTCACTGAGGTAGCATTGACAAACAGGCAGATTGACTGAAATACACTGCTGAGGGGAGAAGCGGGTGAGTCAGGAGAGGTCTGCTGCGCCATGTGGGTAGCTCCCTGGCTGGGGATCGAACTCGTGCTGCAGTGGCTGTGGATGGCTTCATAGGTTGTGTCTTAACCCCTTGTGCCACCAGGGAGGCCCTGTTTGTTTCTTTAAACTGGGTTTTAATTATAGAAAGGGAAGGGGTAAGATTGCAGATGGAAAAGCAGAAAAGTCCGTTTGAGTTTATAGGTCAGATCATGTTGTGATGATTAGAATAACAACCCCTATCTCTGAAACAGTAAACTCCTCGGAATCTATTTGTCTGGGAATTGGGATGCTTTCACCAGTGGAAGAATCCTGTTATTAGAGAGCTACTAAATAAACTCTAAGGCGGGGCTTTCCCCACTCTGGTGTGCATGGGAATTATGAATCTGCATGAGCTGGTGAATCTGGGAAAATGCAGAGCTCTACTCTCTATCGCCAAAGATTTGGATTCAGTAGGTCTGGGTGGGACCCAGGAACCTGAACGTTCTTTTCACATGGTAAGCTTTTTTTTTTTAATTTCTTTTTTTAAAAATAAATTTTATTTTATATTCCCCATACAATTGCAACCCCCTTATTTTGACCCCAATCCCTCCCCTCCCTGCCCCCCACCCCCCATAGAGTGTCTCTGGTTCATAGTTGTTTGTTGATTTTGATTTTCACTTTCTTATAGTTATTCATTTTCCTGGTCCCTTATTTAAGTTTTCTAGATTCCTGCTATGAGTGAGACCATCTGGTATTTTTCTTTTTCTTTCTGGCTTATTTCGCTGAGCATGATCCCTTCCAGCGCCATCCATGTTGCTGCAAATTGCTTGTGTTTATCTTTTTTGAATGCTGAGTAATATTCCATGGTGTATATGGACCACATCTTGTTGATCCAGTCATCTATTTTTGGGCATTTGGGTTGTTTCCAAAGCTTAGCTATTGTAAACAGTGCTGCTATAAACATAGGGATGCAGGTGCTCCTTAGAATTGATGTTTCTGTGTCCTTTGGGTAAATACCTAGGAGTGGAATTGCTGGATCGTATGGAAGCTCTATGCTTAGTAGGTCCAGAAATCTCCACACAGCTCTCCATAGTGGTTGGACCAGTTTGCACTCCCACCAACAGTGCAGAAGAGTTCCTTTTTCTCCACAACCTCGCCAACATTTGTTGTTGCTAGTTTTTTTAATATGTGCCATTCTCACTGGTCACACGGTAAGCTTTAATTGAAGAAGCAGTACATGTTGAATCTGAGGTCTAATTCAGGTATACCAATAACCACCTGGAAACTAAAACATAGTAAGTAAAGTATGCTTAACAATAAAACTGAAATGAGCATAATGTGACACTTTAAGATTCTGTACTGTCAAATTGTCAAATTGAATATAAATCACTATTGTACAGAACTATGAAACAAATTCAGGTTATTTGGACCCCTGCTGCTTTTGGACTCTAGTTAAATGTGTTAACAATACATAAATATTTAAAATTTTGAAACACAGCTACTGTGGAGAAGCTATAAGATTAAAAGAAAAATTTCCACAGAATTTATTTAAATACTGAGATCTCAGTCATTTAAAAAAACAATTGTATTTACACAATTCTCAATCATGTGAAACTGTTCTGGGACATCTTTATTTTGCCAAATGACATTCCCTTATCCAGCGAGGTGCATTATAATGGGGTGTTAGCTACTCTACTTGAGCTAGAGTGGGTATCATCATCC